ATGTTATCAGTCAAATATATATATATTGTATAGTGATTTCAGAGGGTCATTATACACAATTCCCTTTGTCAATATTCTCAGCCACCCCTCTGAATAAGGTAAAATTTTATTTTTTTTACCTTTTTTTTATTGAGTTAAAAATTTGTTTACCCTCCTCCACCCCCTCAGCCACCTTTCTTGATTTTAAAAAGCCCCCCTCAGCCTCTTACCTCTTCTCTTTTAATAACATCAAATTCTATTGGTTTTTACCATATTTTTATTTACACTTCAGCTGCATCTCTAAATGAGGTGAAATTATGTGGACTATCATAGCATTTTTAGTTAAATTACTTTTTGCACTCTCCCTCTTAGCTTTTCTTACACTTTTAAAGAAACCCACTTCTGCCCCCTTATAATATGTAAACACATTGTCTGAGCAATGTTATAATATTTGTTTTAACCCTCTTAAACCACTTTCCATCCCTCCTTCAATAATTGTTTTATCTAAAACATTTGTTAACAGATTTAAACACCATTTCTGAGGTAGTGCTATGGCACGCTGATTTTTTTTATTTCAATAAGTTAATTAATTGAGTAATTTCGTATCAACATAACGATTGTTTTAATGTTTTGATGGAGCTTATATGTAGATAAGCTTTTACAAATATTGTTTAGAGATTCAATTAAAAATTAATATAAATATCACTATTAGATTCATCAACACCCTCGTAAGTAGCATAATCTGTGCAGTAATATGTTTTTATTTCTTTTTTGTACATGATTTATAATTTTATTATTTAAAAAGTACGGTTATTTGTTATGAGAAGAGAGTATAACGTTATTTATTAAAAAGTTNTTTATGATTTTAATACTATTTCAAAAAACTGAAAGAATCTGTTTGAAATCTCCTCCTAAAACAATTAATATATTATCAAAATGGATATTTATTTTGCATAAATAACGTGATATTCTTTTGACTACCTCTAAGGCTTTTTTGGAAATTTTTTGGAGTTTTTTTTTAATTTTAAAATTGAATTCAGCTGTAATGAAGCATTCTTAATTTTTTTTTTGTCATCATCAATAAAAAATTGTTTAAATTTTTTCCATAAATTTTCGCCTTAAATATCTCCAGACATTAAAAACCGCGTAAAAAATTTTCTCAATTGGCATGGCAACATAAAGTAACGTACTTCTTAAATAATATTATGAATTTGGGAATCGTGTTCCACTAAACTTTGAGCAATAGCAGCATCTTTTAATGTACTACAAAGTATTCCATCAACAGTTCTTAACATTTCAGAAGATTCTGCTCCGGTATTGCGATGAAAAATTAGTAAAAAAAAATAAAACTGCTTCAAATCCTGATAAGTTCAGTTCAGATAAAATATAATGAAATTGTTATAAATTAATTTTTTAATCTTATTCTTAGTGATAAAAATTAATTACTTAGTAAATTTTTGTATGTGTAAAGTTTATCTATTTGCCTTTTGGCCAGCTTGCAAAAATAGATAAAAATAAGTATTATAAAGTAAATAATTTCAAGTAGTTTGTTAGTGGGTTTTTTCACAGTAGTAGCATCTCGATATATTCGTACACATACATGACATCGAGGCAGGCCTTGCTCTCTCGTTGTGCACGTAGGCAAGAAATATAACGTATGCTATGCGTTATAACTAAACAGATGAACTTTTCACCTCCTAAGCTGAGTATGGGGCAAATCAATAAACAGACAACATCTCCACTTAATGTTTCAGTAAACCCCACGCTAACCCCCAATCTAATAACCTCTATTTTCTAAAGAACGAGGAGAAAGCTCATGATCTTAGCTACAAATCTGTTATTTTTATTTTACTGCCGTAAGAGTTATTATAGTTATATGTACATGGTTTCAGTGGAAATCCATTACTTACCTGTGCTCGACCGGCCTGTTAATACGATATTCATACAGCAATTCCGCAAAATTTTCCACGCTAAACGGGTCTGAAATTTTGAGTATAGGTCCATTGATACTACAATAACAACTTCTTACTGTTATGTCCAGTTCGTAGAACATTTGGGTTTCCTGGCGGATCGCCTTAAATATATGCATGAGTTTGGTAGAGGGTGGTGGGGTGAATGGATGAAAAATGTTATCAGTCAAAATAAAAGAAATGACGTCAACATACTTCCATATAATTTATAGGTATACACATATGTGTATACGTATAATTTTATTAGAAAACTACGAGTGTGTGGGTAGGTGTCAGATTCAATGATAGTAAGATTTTAGTTACATTTCACTAAAACTGTGTAGTGGGATGTGAAAGGACCTAAAGGGTAAAAAAAATTCTGCGAGGGGGCGGGGGGTCTGTGAGTGGTGGTGGGGGTCTGGAGAAAAAGTAAACTGATCCGAAATAAGGGAGAAAATAACAGAATTTCACCTAATATTTTGGGGGGGCACGGGCGGTAAGGAGGCTTGTTGTGTGGAATTCTCTACACGAACAGCTTTATAATTTAGGAAGATAAGTACATACATCCATTACGTTTATATATATTTCTGTATTAGTGGTCTTAAAATGCAATTTATTAAAATTTGTCGTGTTCCTACAGACAAAGTGAGCCTGATGAGGTTAGCGTTAAAACCAACAAAAAGTCGCTAAAAATAACATCAAGCATTTTGGAGTTTTTATTTATGCACCATGATAATCTCTTAACTGAACATGCTTATCAACCAACTCTACTAGTTCCTATGAAAAAAACTAAGAGCAGAGCTACATATTCAATAACCAACGTGATGTAACTAAAATTGTTCTTTAAAAAAATTAGAAAATAAGTTCATTAATGAATTCACGTAAATTTTTTAATTTTGTCACTTATGTCATTCTATCCAAATTTTATTGGTGACAGGAAGTATTTTATTAAAAATTTCTCTGCAAATGTGAAGTCTACATGAGTAGCGTAAAAATTTTTTTTTAGATTAACAGCAAGATTGAATTGTTTTAAAAAATCAATGAGCTTTTTATGTAGTAGTCTAAGTTATTTTTTTTGCTTCCAAATAAAAAATGTTTTTTCTAACAGAATAGTTTCAAATTTGAGGAGCAACGGAAGATTGATTTTTTTTTACACTAATAATCATACGTAAGAAAACCATAATATCAACTTCGTACTCCATGGTTTCTTTTACAGTATATGGTCGTTGAGTTTCAGTACACAGGGATTGACTCAAACAGTTGTCATTTCGTTTAAACTAGGACATAATAACAGTACACATATACATGGAATAATTAACAGAAGTCAAATAAGCCAACTAGTTATTCTAATCATATTTATTAGTTCAGATACAACAAGACTTTTAAAATAAGTGAGCACGTGCATGTTATCCTAAGTTACATGTGTATTCATGCATACACATTCCAGAATATGAATTTTTGTGACTAGATGTTCAAAAATGTCTGACAGACACGAATAGTATTACGATTTTAAATAACGTCAAATATGGATTATTTTAAATGTCCAGTATATTAGATATATAAGATTTTTAAGTATTACTAGTACACCTCTGCATATTTATACCTTGGTCAATATATATTTTATTCGTATAAGTATGAATATATCAATCATCATTTATTTAGTTATACCATCAATGTAATACTCGAATATGTGATATCGTTTACTTAACAGAAGTTAATAAATATCTTGCAAATTCAACATGAAATAACAATTGAAGAAATAACCTGTAGTTTCTTTTACAATTGTTTAGAAAACTACGTTTGTTCTTAAATAAGGGTTAAGAAACTAATGGTTTTAAGGCGTTAAAACTTGATTAGTAACGCATCATAGTGAACTGAAAACTACTATATAAACTTAACAATTTTTTTAGATACCTACGTTGTGTGATAATGCAGTTCTTAAAATTTTCTTATTAATTATTGGTTTGACAAAATGAAAAATTACATATTCACACAGTTCTTATAATACTAAGCGTTTTTAGTCTTGAGCAGAAACAGTAATGGTCTTGCCTTTAGGATCATCAAAGCGATCCATTGTGCGTATATCTATAATCATTATGAGACCCCATATCAAGATAAGTGCTAAAATAGTAGTGACAAAGATTCCAGTCCAAATAGGAATGCTTGTAAAGCCAACACAGTCATAAACTTGATTACTGAATTTTTCGGTGTCCATTTGTACTTGTAAATTCGACAATCGTACTGAAACTTCCACTTCATTTTGAAGAGAATGTTTATTCTTGCAGCTAAATTCAATAACTTGGCTACAATGATAACCAAACGTAGAAGGAAACTCTATAATACTCGTGCTATTTAAAAACAGAGTTTTATTAGAGTCACCATCTGGTGTATATTCCATTCCAATAAATTTGAAGTAACCATGGAATTTCTCAAAATAGGCTTTTAGAGTTATTTTGGCAATTTTATTAATGCCTCCATAATTTAATGTCAAATTGTAGCTTTTATCACCAGTATTGACTGATCTACCTGTTTCATTTCCGATTGGATTGTATCCACTCGTATCAAGCTGAAACAACAAAAACAAAATTGATTTAGTTAATTGACATTAGTTATGTCAAATATCTTGCATATTACAAGATGTTGATTTTAAAATAGATATCAATCAAGGTTATTAAAATAACTTGTTTCATAAAAAATAAGAGAATTTTTTGTTCAAAAAACTGTTCCAAAATTTCAGATTTTCAAACTTCTGTTAATTTTTTTACAAAATTACAAACTACAACATATTTATTATTCACTACTATTCTACTTATATTTTAAATCACCATTCAGAAAAATTCATTACAAAAGATACCTCTTATTTCTTCGGCGGGCATATGTCCCAGCTAGGGGGTAGTCAATATTCCGGCAATTTTTTGCACACTTCTAATTCTTTGACTGTAGTATAATTTAACGTTGATTTAGTAACAAGTGTAGATTTTTGATTCCTTTTTCTCCCAAGATTTAGTATCATTTGTACGCGCTCTCGCGATTATAGTTTCGTGAATAAAAGAAAGTTGGGCTTTCTTTAACCTGGAGCACGTAGGTGCCTGGCTTGATGACCGGGGGAGAGGAAAGACGGAGACAGACAATCGCAAAACTAGCTTGATTCAATTTCAATGAATGTGGTTTATTAACCAAAAACTCAGTCTGGCAAAGGTGCAAAAGAATATATGTGAATATATATATATATATATAAACTCATGATCTTCAAGGGTGCTATCAAAATGAAACTAAATGCGCATGGCATAGGTGCAAACGACCTAATGGATCCGCTCTGCTTTGGCTACTCGATTGTCTGGGTCGTAGGAGACTAAGCACAAAAACACTACTGCTGGACGTTCGCGCCGTCGAAGAGAGAGAAACGCCCTTCCGCAGTTCACTTTAGATTGGCGGGCTTTTTTCAAATATTTCCTCAGTGGTCATTTTAAGTTAGGTGGCGCAAATGTAGCCACCTGCCAGCGTCGCTTTACAGCGTGTTAACATTTTGTGTTGAAAAGAGAGAAAAAAAGGAATCCTAAGACGTCAACTAGGTTGAAAGAAAAAAAAAAGACTTAATTGGCGTGAGCCGCAAGGTTAAGACAATGCTATTCAAATGTATATGGAAGTAAAAGAAAATAAGTAGAAGTTTTAATCGCAAGTTACAATAATGTGACAATACAATCGAAGCTCAGCTGACCCTACCTAAACATACATATTAAATTTAAAATATTTAAATATTCAACTTGTTCACAACAGAGTAAATTTCATCCTTCCAGTCGTTGATTTTGGACCACCCGCCGCAAGAAGACTAGATGAGATTTGAGGGGTACGCTGAACATCAGTAGAAAGCAGTACTAATTTATGTACTACTCTTTTTAGGATTGGCTGTGCATACAAGAGCCACTTGACAGGGGCCATCAGATCCTGGGAAGGTCTGTTAGATACGACCCATGAGCTATCTGGTAGCAGGTTAAAGATCGTTTTTAGAGCACTATGTTGTCCAACTGTAGATTGCATTGAGGTTTTATCTACTTAGTGCGCTGGCTTAATATCTGACCAGCTTTCGTATCTGACCAGCAAAGTACGTGTTTTCAAAAGCTTAACTCTTCAACTACAGCATGCAAATTTTCAAGTTGGGACCTATAAAGCTTCACAAATGACATGTGCTTGAAGATAGGGGGGTTGTAGCCAAGCGCTGGTGCAAACGTATATCGGTGAGTGTCGGGTAAAATGCTGTTTCACAACTTACTCATAATCCAAGACAAGTAGCTAAAAAAATAAATAAAAAAGCACAAATTGACAGATTTAAGTGTGTTCTTTTTTATTCCGCAGGAAATTTTCGATTAAAACTTGGATGTAATATTAAAAAATGAGCAGATCTATTAAGAAGTTGACGTGGCAGCAAACACATGTTTTTTTTTATGAGATACGTATTCATAAGTACTTTAACCAGGAATTAAATTACAACTTCATTTGATGTTACATCTTCGTATTTATTTACATATATTTACAGTATTTTTTAGTAACTATTTTTTTAACTTTGCGTTTTAAGCAAGATTTTTTTGAAGCATTAAAAAAAAATTTTTTTTGTTAGAGTAACATCTTTTCATTTTGCTAATTTTTTAAACGTTTTCTCAACAGATTGAAAAAAATGAGAAGGTACTAATGCGGAAAAATCTTTTAACTTTAAGTGAGTAGTATCTAAAGATTTTATACAATGATGCGATAGTTTTCAACGGGGATGTGAGTTTAATCTAAGATTATCTAAAAATATAAGTCATAACTTATAACGTTGCATAAATAAGTGACATAGCGTGACAGGTTTTAAACAAGGCAGATAGAACAGTGTCGTCCGCTAAAACACCGGATCTAGCTCACCTTGTCTCACATCCTCATCGAGCTGCGATTTTCATACATTTTGACGCAAACATTAAATTTTTTTTAATACAATAAGAAAGATGGTTATTATTTCTTTGTACTAAAATGGATGGGACTAAATTATAACTTTGTACATTTTAAAAATATAAAAAATAAATATACTTCCTTTTAATTCTTTAAAATGAGAAAATAATTTAATATTTAAAGTAATCAACTTCCAAAGCTTGTGATTAAATTATTTTTAAAAAATTTTTTCAATTTAAAATTCACTGCGCAAACAACATCTATTAGAATCTGTCAATTTGTGCATTTTTAGATATTTTTTTAGCCACTCATCTTGGATTATGAGCGAATTGTGAAACAGTATTTTACCCAGTACTCACCAAGATCGTGCACGCTAGTGGTAGACTACACCTCGCTACCTTCAAGCGTATGTCATTTGTGAAGCTTTATAGGTCCCATCTTGAAAATTTGGATTTTTGTAGTTAAAGAGTTAATTTTTTGATTACTGCAAGTTAAAGGAAAAAAAAAAAAAAAGTGCTTTGAGAAAAACAGCCTATACTTGGAAATCGATTTCAGCAAGGAAAACAATTTCTTACGTAAAAACTGACTGCACTATCTGAAAGAGCAGGTCCAAGCCTATCGAATTATGTTTTTACCTTTTTTTCTAAATATTTTCCATCCATTGTAAACGAGTTAAAAAAAACGCTTTTGATGCAAAAAAGGCGCTGCACACGCCTCGTGTTTCGCTTGGCTTAGACGCGCCTGTATTTACGTAATGATCACGTAATATTTACTAAAAAAAACACTTCGTTACAAATTCTGCGTCAGTTTTAAAAACTCCAAAAATTTTTGGTAATATAAGAACTGAGCATATTTTCCCTACTTAGAAGATATTAACACAATTGAAAAGAAACACTAAGACTTACTTTAATATAGATTGTAAGCAACGTTTGTAAGTGTAGTTAAACCAAACGATGAAATTTACATAAATTTTCTTATTGGAATATCAAACAGTATTAATGATGGTCTGACGTAAATGGAACTAAAAAATAGGAGAAGTAGTAATATTAATAAGAAATTTGTATATACAATGGTTTGTGCAATAGCACTCGACTTGAGAAATAAAATTATTACATTTTAATACAGAAATTGAAATTATAACTGGAAAAAAATATGGAATCAAGTTTTCATACAAAAAATAAAAAATAATATTTAATACAGAAAATTCATTTTATTTGTTGTACAAAAAAGTAATTTTCATTAATCTTAGCATTTACGATGTCTCAAAATAAATCTCAAGGTCAAAATTTGTTAAAATTTTTGTAAAATTACTCTTTCGAATACCTGAGAGTTTATTGTTCAAAAAGTCATAGAAATTCATCAGAATATTGCTAATTGTGGAGAATAAAATAGAGCTTCTAAGATGGAAAAAAGGTTTAATTTCAATGAAAAATTGTATGCAGTGGATTCTGAGCTCAATATCAGACATTGGATTTTAGTTCTTAAAAATTCGATACAAAATGACATATACAATCTTTAAAATGGATTTGAAGCACAGTTGCACTAAAATGGTTCATAGAACGTAAATGTAAGTATGAATGTATTCACACAGCTTTTTGACTTTCTAAGAAAACTTCATACATAAATGCGAGTAATTGAATTTGACATTTCCCATTCAATACGAGTTCGCTGAGGCAACTCATTTTCTCAGTTAAAACTACTAGTTTGTAGAAAAATTATCATACGCAAGAACCGAAAAAAATTGCTACTTCAATATTTTTGATGAACTGTACATTATTTGAATGATAAAATAATTAATATTAAAATTAAAATAGCTGTAATGATAGGTGAAGATTCAAGAAAAGAAAATACACTTCAAAATATTATAGAGTACGAATGATTTGAAGAAAGTACTTTTTAACAAAATCAAGATTTCATATGATTACTTAGTATACGTATGCAGCAACGGGATAGCTCTGGGACATGTGGATATTTAGAATAAATGTTATGCTTTAAATTAACATTCATCAACGATGGATTTATGAACAAATTTTATATTGATTCAGAAATGACTTTAAAAAAGTCAACGCACCTTAACTTCATACTTATAAAATAAAAATAAAAAAATTCATTCTAGAGAGTACTAACGATATAAATTATACAAATATTCGAGGAACACAATATGGTCATTTGAGGAATGAAATATTTTCATTGCTTTTGAGTATGAAGTTAAATAATGGGCCTCATAAGTAGTGTTAAAAATATATTAGGAAAACAGGTATTGATGTTAACGAAAGAATTATGGGAGGTTGCGAGGGGCACAGGAATTCTAAGAACTATAAAGTGACTGTGGAGTATAATGGGAGGGAGTAGGGCGTGAGCCAACATATTTAGGATTAATGATAATAACAAAAATATTATATTTATTCTTCTTTCACACATTACAAAAAGTAGACAAAAACTGTGAATATAACTACATTGTAACTGTAAAATAAATAGTGAGGCTTATGATGTGTATTTTTGCTCCCCATTGATGACTTTTTGTCTGTGTAAAAATACCATAATAAGCTTTCAAGGACGTCTCTGCTAGGTGATTCGTCGCCTCTCCTTCCCTTTATCAAAAAAAAAGTTTGCGTCTGGAATAAATAAATGACATGAATTGGC